TACCAATACATGATAGGTATTTACCTTCAAATACCAGTCATACACCAATACATGACAGATACTTACTTACAATTACCAGTCATATACCAATACATGATAGGTATTTACCTTCAAATACCAGTCATACACCAATACATGACAGATATTTACTTACAATTACAGTCATATACCAACACATGATAGGTATTTACCTTCAAATACCAGTCATACACCAATACATGACAGATATTTACTTACAATTACAGTCATATACCAACACATGATAGGTATTTACCTTCAAATACCAGTCATACATCAATACATGGCAGATATTTACTTACAATTACCAGTCATATACCAACTGATGTGCAGAAAATGGCAAATTTAATAAATTATATATTTTTGTCTAAACAATCACACACGTAGGACATCTTCGCCAAAACTCATTGTTTCGCTATTAAACATTAAAACTATTCCATATTTCATTATTTTAACTACATTATTATATAAGCATTGCTCACGTGAAGTGACGTATTTGGAGATAGCAGCCCTAAAAGATTTTGTACTTACCTTTCTTTGTTTCTATGACATTATGAACAATGTATTTGTTGAGCTTGTATATTTTGGCTTGCGACTCCCCCTGGATTCTATCATTTTACGTTTAATGTCTACAGGCAAACCTACTTTTATTAATTAGTATAGTTTTACCACTGATATTTTTGGGTTTAAATACATATCCAACTCGAGATCAGTAACTCTCAATTTACAAAAGTACATACCTATATCAAAATGTGATTTGGTTAAAACAGCATTCTGTATGTTCCGTTTTTCCTCATTAATAGTTCATAATACAGAGAGTCAATTGTAAGTTATAAGAAAGATTTGCCTAATACAACAGCGTGTAGACTCAGGTTCGAGCCGGTGCAACATGTTTAACACTTACTTCTTTGGTCCACGATGAATTCCCGACCATTCGACAGTGCAATCCTGCCACGTTTAAACTTATGGATTGAGGGATTTCCGAGAAAGGATATTCATATTGGGGGATTGTTAAACACCGTAGAGCTAAAGGATAGAATAATTCGAAAAAAGAGGAACTTTCAGCGTTCTTCATAGAAGCAGATAAACTTGTACAGCTAAGCTTTTAGAATAACTAGGGGCTCCGAATTCCGGAACAGCGTTTCATCTGCAAAATGAAAGAGGTTATGAAAGAAAATTATCTGACCTCCCTACCCCACCCCCCAAAAAAAGAAAACGAAAAACTATTGCTATGAAGTTGTATATAAATATCAATCATTCCTCAAAATCAACGGTTGTTTTTATGAGAAAGGGAGCCAAAAAAACTGAACTCACAACAATTCCATTCAACCACAACATGCTTGTAAAGACTTCCCAGTCCAGCTCCGATCTACTTTTGTGTCTTTGATATGCTTAAAATGTGAGTTTGGAATTCGACGTCCCTTACAATGGAGGGTATGCGGTAAGATTATCAAGATGTATGGTCTACGATTGGCCTTACTATCCTTCGCAGAAGCTTGTTGCAATGGAAACTGTAGTGTTAAACAACAGTGGATGAGTTTGACAATCAGAGTGAGCATGGTCGACGTTGGAGACGATAATTCCGAGGGTAGCTTGGGTTCTGGAACATCATTCTTATAAGGTGCTTTTAACCCTCATAATAAGAGTGTAGATTACTTTGAAAATATCTAACGCATGAAGCATTTATTAGGTAAAAAACATAATTTCGTATTTTACTAGCATAACATAGTTTAACAATTCTCCAATAGGATGATGAGGCCAGCTGTAGGTCAAGCTACAAACTTCTCTACAACAAGCACGGTTTCTTTTTATCCATGGATACAGAAGGAAACATATTCGGTACAAAAGAAAAACACAAGCATGGTGAGTATAACAAGCATCTCCCATCATTTTTTTTAAATTATTTTTTACTTTCAAATAAATAGAAAATATAGTAGTTTTAAATTTCGTCTTATTAAGTATCAGGAAAATGTTTAAGGTGAACAACTTATGTACAAATTATCTCTTCTTCACTCACTCTTTGGGCCGGACGTGGCCTAGTTCTAAGCATATTTGGATTATGAATCACAAGGTTCAAGATTCGCGTCCCGTTACCACAAAAACTCGCTTCGCACGAACAGCCCAAGAGTTGATGGTTGGTTAGGCTTCCTATAGCTTATCAATACAAAATAAGCCATGCCTACGAATATAGCTCTTTGAACAGCTTTACGCGAATATTCGAAAACAAAACAAAAAATCCTCTAAGTCTATAACATTTCATTTTTCTTGACAGCTATTACTAACTTTTTAAAGTTTTTCAAAGAGTCTTTCTAACTTTTGTCTCATTTTTTGCTAATTAGTATTTATATTTCTTCATTTTTTTATACTTTGACTTTTCTTTCAGTTTGCAACAAAAGTGCTGAAGTTAAGGGATCTTTTTAAGTAATATTTGTCTAATCTTGTTTTTCTTCAATCTTCATTCTCTTCTCTCGCATGTCAATCTTATGACTTTGCTTTATTAAACTTCTTTATTCTGACATTCACCTCATTATGGAATTACTTTTCTCATTCTATTCCACTTTAAATCCTAATTGATTTATTTTTCGAATGTTTCTTTGTTTCAGAATAATCGAGTAAATATACTTGGAATATACACACTCTTTGTTTTCTGCTGACAGAAGCTACTGAGAAAATAGGTGCAGTCACCTTTTTCTTTTCTCTTCTATTAGATGCTGCTTTTATGTATACATTTTAACATTTTTATATGTCGGCACAGCGGCATGTCTGCGGACTTATAACGCTCGAAAAAGGGTTTCGATATCCGTGGGGGGTAGAGCACAGAAAACACATCGTTTAGGTTGGTGATTAACTACAAACCAAAAATTTTTTTATGCAGCTATAAGGACTAGTCGCTCTCTTGCGTGTCTTTTTTTTTTAATTTACCATCTCTCAGTGACCCACTTCTTTATTTTCTTATTCTTTCTTCATTACACACTAACGAAATAAAAGTCCAATTTACACTACAGATGTGTGTTTTTAAATTTTCTCTGGACTGGCTCCACAGTGGCACAGCGGTATGTTTGTGGACGTACAACGCTAGCAACCCGATTTCGATACTCGTTGTGGGCAGAGCACAAATAGACCATTGTGTAGCTTTGTGCTTATTTGCAAATAAATCTTTGCACTATTTTATAAATCAATTATTAAAAGTTATTAGTTTCATATTCTTTGCGTAAAGTTGCACTGCTCTCATGTGTTTCGCCATTTGTTTATTGTCCACAAAGTTTGATAAACCAAAGTTCCGACATAAAACATTTGACATTTACTTTCTGTCAAACAAATTATCACTAAAAATATTTAGTGCAATTCTATTCTAAACTAAAAATAATAACGCGATCTCTTAAAGAGTATAAGAAAAAAGATACTGTTAGAAGTTTGTTTTAGTTGTTGTTAAACTACTGAATGAACTCTACCCAGAACAGGTATAAAAACCCGAATTTTAGCGTCTTAAGATCGCAGACTTACCGCTGAGCCACTGGGAAGGGGGGTTACTGTTAGAAGAGCATTTATTTTAATAAGTTTAAACAATACTCGTCCGCCAACAATAAAATAATTAAAAAGTTTAAACAATAAAACAATTGTTATGGTGTGTATGCCTTTTATATACCAGTGAAGAATGATTACAATTTCATTTGCCATAAGACAGTAGTGTTAGGCCTATTTCATTTTTATACACTACATTATTAATCTAGTCCCTTAGGGATTTTAAAGAATTATATGAGTGTATAATAAGAGTATTCCAACCACACTATATTTGTCATATCCACTGCAGACGACGCGTTTTGCTTAATCCAGAGCTCTTCAGGCTGGCTAAGAATACAACGAACACAGTAATGGTCGGAACACTATTTATATAACCATTTAATACAACGACAATTGTTATAATAAAAGAACTCTAACTTATGAACACAATTAGAAACATTATAGATACTTTAAAAATTAACTAAAAATTAACAATTAAGAAGTAGAATCCACAACAGATACAATGAGACACATTAAAGATCTTGGTCGCCAGTAAGAATTTTGTTTCTAAACAATAGTAATATAATTACACTTTTCATAAAATATTTTAATATTAGACCTATTACGTTTTAACACTAGTCTCCTTATTCATTCCTTTAGCCTCCCAGTAGCACAGCGGTATGTCTGCGGACTTACCACGCTAGAAACCGGGTTTCGATTCCCGTCGTGGGCAGAGCACAGATAGCCCATTGTTTAACTTTGTGCTTAATTACAAACAAACAAACATTCCTTTAGGGTATTTCAAGAATTAAAACAATGTACAATAGTATTTCAATCACACTATGTTCGCCGTATCTATTGCCGACGACTTACCATAACAACTGTTGTTGTAACAAATGGCTTATATAAATAGTGTTCTGTGCACTATTGTGTTTGTTGTGTCCCAACCGACCTGATGAGCTCTGGATTGATCAAAACGCGTCCACACCATAACTATAATAACGCATTTTTTTCATCATGGTGATAAGTTTGGACACTGAGAAAAGGTGACTTACACCACTAGAAACCGGGTTTCGATACCCGTGGTGGGCAGAGCACAGGTAGCTCATTGTGTAGCTTTGTACTTATTTACAAACAAGCAAACAAACACACTTTACGCCGCTGTCAAAAATTAATTGGAGTTTCTTGATGAATCTTTATTTGATTTTTTTAAGAGATACGCTTTCGGAATTATTTTCTTAACCATAAGGATATTAAATTAGTTAGTCGAACTTTTCGACTTTCTATTTTTTTTTTTTTTTTACTTTTTAAGAAATGAGTCAAATTTATACAAATATAGGCCTCATAAACTGAGGATTGTAGATATTTGTTGAAAACTTTACTGTGGACTATTTAGCAGCATAACCATTTAGAACTTGAAATTTTCGTTTTCATTCAAACTTTTTGTTGTTTTTTTGTGGGGGGGGGGCAAGGCTTAATAGTTAGCATGCTAAATTGGGATATGAAATGTCCAAAGTTCGAGCTGCGATATCCCGCTGAGCACGCTTCGCATATTAAGTTGGAAATAGAGGCTATAAATAACTGTGAAGGTCAATCCCGTTATTCCGTTAAAAGTAAGTTCTTCATGACTGGTGTCGCCCTCTTTTAGGTCAGTAGTTCTCAATTAGGAATGTTATGAATATTAACTTCTGATCAAAGCAAACTACCTACATAGACCTGAACTACAAATCAAGCCAGTAGTAAAAATAACTAATTAAATATACTATTCTTACGTCCTTAACTATAAAGGTTGTAATAGTTTGTTTCATTAGTTAGGTACCCTCGTTGTTAGCGATGTTTTCGACAGTGCCTGAACCTTCGGTCTCTAACCGCTCAGTCTGTAAATCAAATCACCTTGACCATTTTCTGAAGGCAACCATTGTCCCGTTTGGAGTTTTAAAGTGTTTGACTTTGCTGTTTTCAGATCTCTATGTTGATAAAACTAGGCCTGTTTATTTTGCTTTCATAAGATTGGTACAATCCTCTCACATTTTTTCCTGTTTTTTTTTTTTTCACTGTAAAGAAATGAATATAAAACTTCGCGGAACACAAGTGGCACAGCAATATGTCTGCGGATTTACAATGCTAGTAACCAGGTTTCGATACCTATGGTGGGCAGAGCACAGATAGTCCATTGTGTAGCTTTGTGCTGAGCTTCAAACAAACAAACAACACACTCTACGCTGTCAAAATAAATTTAGTGTACAAAACTAACCGCTATTCCTACCTATAGCTGTTCAAGTATTACCATGCTAAAACCATTGACACAAATTGGAAACAACCATTTTTGTGTCAATAGAACTATTCACACACACGCACATATACATATACAGTGTAACAGTTTACACTGTTAAAAATGTCATTCTTACAAACACTCACACTCTGGTTGGTCCACTTAACTACACAGTGTAAGACTGTGAATCCAAGAGTTCATGGTTCGCGTTCTGTTGCCGCCAAATTAGAGATAGCTGCCACAGATAGCCCTTGTGTAGCTTTTAGTGAATTTCTAAAATAAATAATGCAAACTGTGTTAGAGTGTAACCACATCATTCTCCATTGGCGACTTCATAGAGGGCGAGCTGCTTAACCATAAGCTACATATTTCTGAATATGTGTATGCAGAGATAATTGTTGCTGCTAGTATCTAGTATACTATACGAATGCTTACAAGGGCTTCATCGATTTTGGTTGAAGAGATAAAACTAGTTAGAGTTAAAGAGTGTTCTATTTTATATCACTAGTGAGAGGTTCAGTTAAATAATTCGTTAATTTATAATAATCTTAATTAAACAGTTATATAATTTATAGTCTTAGCTAAATTATTCTACAAATAATACAACATTTATTACCTAATAGTATAAATTACCTGCGTTCCGCTGTGGAGTTCAAAGGCGTCTTTTCCGATTCACAGAAGTCCCAACGTTCCAATCAAGCTCTTCCGTTTTCCCCAGTTTTCTATAGATACCCTAAGGGGATAAGTACCCGAAAGAAAAAAAAACCTGTTAGGACAACCACGTGGTACCTCTGCACGTGTGCATTGGTTGGTCCTGCTATTTTTTTTTGGGGGGGGTATTAACACAGTTTCCAATATGTCCACCACGGTATCCCGAGAAGGGACAGGAACACGAAATCCGTTGGTAGAGTCGGGTTCAGCGCTCTGAAAGTTTACTCCTAAATCTCCATCGTGCCTGAATGATCTTCCGGGATCGTCTAGTTCCCCTGTTTATCGTCTTGATACATATACATTGTACATATAAGGACGTCTCAGATCATCTCGATTCTGTCTGCCAAATTTAGTTTTGCCAACTCCAAACTCTGAGAAGTGTTAGCGGACAAGTAAATTCATAAACATCTAACGTGAGTTAATAAACGATTGATATTTGTTTTGAAGTAATACTTTGCAAGATATGCATGATATTGTGTTATATAAATCAATAGTTACTACTCATTCAGTTATTCAATCCAGCTAGTTAGTTACTCACCTGCCAAATTAATTTTGTATTCATCCACCCTTTCATCTGGCCCCCTAGTGGCACAGCGGTATGTCTGCGGACTTATACAACTAGAAACCGGGTTTCGATAATCATGGTGGGTAGAGCACAGATAGCCCTTTGTGTAGCTTTTTGCTTAATAATAAAACAATAAAATACCCTTTCATCCACTCCTAATCTTATACTCAAATATATCCACCCAGTATGTATATCCTTCCAATAGCTTGTTTTAATCCTCACATCCTTTCCCCCATGACCTCCAACGACTCAGTGGTAAACTAAAGGAGGCCTTATACTGCTTGAATTCGGTGTTCAATCCTCGCAACGAACACAGTGCTAGCTATTGTGCCAGCTTTGTGCTAAAAACAAAAGAAAAACATTATTTTCTCATATTAAAAAAAAAAAAGTTATAGTTGTTACGTCATATCCTTCCAAGGCGTCGACTATGAACGACGAATTTAGTGATATTATTCACAGTTTAACAATACTTAGCGATAGTAGAATCAGCTATCTACAGTTTAATTTCTATAGCAGTTCATGTTTCAGCTAAAAACGAAACATGAAATACTTTAGGTAATCACATTTAATACACATAAATAATCTTCAATACCAGTGTGTTTCATGAGAAAATTAATTGACGGACCATACATTCTGTTAGAGTTTTATTCACTCACAAAACAATTTTCTGGAACTTTAGATATATAGAAATTTAAGGTATGTTTCCAGTTTGTCATCAAACCAATTTAAAAACTGAAAAAAATTTTGAACAATATGTTTACACGCTGATTACGTCACTTGCACAAATTTCTATGTATATATATAGACGAACATCCAGTCTATTCACTTTTACTACCTGTAATTGAGTTCAATAGATGGAAAAAAATAGAGTTAAGGGTATTTCTTTTTTCCCCCTACGACATGAGATAGTGTATGGCTTCTGTGGTGTTATTTGGTAAATCATAGGCTAAGGCTTATATTTGCAAATAAAAAACTAAAGCTAAGTGTTTTTGTTTGTTAATCAAGTCTTAAGTTAAAAAATATTATGTTATCAGCAGTTACTGAGTTTGATGAAAGCATTTAGCTATATGGTAACTGTTGCCATTTCACTATATCAAAAGAGGATTATTAATATTAACTTCTGATCAGAGTAGCTACCAACTTAGAGTAAAACTAAAGACAACCTGGTAACGAGTATAGCTAATTAAATATTTGTTCTTACGTTCTTACTTATAAAAATTAGAATGTATTATTTCATCAGTTTGTTACCCTGTTGTTGTTATTTGTACTACATACTTTTTCTTTTTCTATAATAGCTAATTTTAATTTTTTTTGACGTCTGATGGAGAAGGGGTGAGGATAAAAGCCGTGAGTGCAGATAAGTATGTTGCCATGGACGAACAAGGGAACTTATATGGGCAGGTATGTACCGATCACTATTTATCCTGGAAAGTGACAATTTGAGACTTTGATAGTTCCAGCGTATATAATATTGCTATCAGTCCACGATTTTACAATAAGTTCTACGTTTATAATATTAAATCATCGCGTAGTACTTCAAAAGTTGTATAAAGAATTTATTTTGTTTTTAAACTAATAAACAACAACTCAAAACAAAATTGAACATTACTTAATTGATAATTAAATAATAATTATCTCGTGTTAAGCTATAATATTTCTTCTCATCTATCTTCCATTATGTAGGATGATCCCAACTCCGATGAGACACTTTTTATTGAAAACATTGAAGGTTACTATTTACAGTATCAGTCCAAAAACTACCAAGACTGGTTCATCGGGATCAAAAAGACTGGAAAGCCGAAAAAGGGAACTAAAACTAAATCTAGGCAAAGAGCCGTTATGTGGTTAAAAACCGACTGTAGTTGAGGATCTTGTAACATTTTTAATCTGGTCCACTCATACAAATAATGTTATGTCTAAAAAAGTAGAGTAATTTCCAAGCAAAGTTGTTATGTTATTACAGCTGTAATGTTTTCAATTTTCCCTTTTCTATATTTGTTATAAACGTACATTGTTTTCCAAACTCGTTACTGTAGAATTTTGAGCATGTGTTTGATACGCTGCCAAATCCTAACTTTTTAACCATAATGCGCTTGAATGGGAAGTATTCGAGATTAGCTATTGTTCTAAATAGAATAGATTAGCCAAATAGATAGGTTAGTTCATGTTCGTCTAAAGTCTGTAAAATTAGATAAAACAAGAATAGACTTCGGACAGGAAAAAGGATTTGGCGGCACAACGGCAGTTCACGATTTATCAATATATTTAATGTTTTGTCTTCGATGATAAAAGATTTGAAGCGTAATAGTTATATTCTTACAAAGTAATGATTCAGATTCTCGTTCTATATTTGTTATAAGTGTACATTGTTGTCCAAAATCTCATTAGTATAGAGCATGTTTACTAGGCTAGTGAACGGTTTGATGTTAGGAATAAATACGTAAATAGCGTTATGTCTAAGATAAAATCATTACATTATGTTAGTTATATATTTAAATTAAATTAATTAAATCTCTTTCTATATTTTTTACGAATTTCCAAGGTTGAACAGAAACTCAGTATTATAGAACTTTGAACATGCATTTAATCTGACTTCATTTCATAAAAGCAGAAAAAGGTACGTTTTGTATAACGCTTAAATGACGTGTAATGACATATTTAAAACGTATACATTATAGTGATTGCCAATTAAATATATATGATCGTTTTCTAAAATGGAACACTCCTAATAAGGGTAAATCATTTTATTCATTAGAAACTTCAAGCACTTAAAAAAGTGGTTATAGTCCAGGGACCTACTTGAATTGTTTAATATGTTTTATCGAAACACTTACTTCAATACTTGTTATTCACAAAACCCTTTTTTTATTTTCTATTAAATATTGTTACTTTTCTAACTTCGCTATCTTCTGTGCGAATATATGTTTTTATAACTGTATGGACCAGTAGTTTTCTAAAAATCCTTTTGAATGTTTAAGAATGTTTTTGTTTTGTCATAATGAAGGTTGTAATTTGAATAATATTTAATGTTTTCGCGTAACTTCATAAGTTAATACTGATTCAAAACGTTTAATTGTAATTTTTAAGAAAAGCAAAATAATTATATTTCTATGATATCAATGAATTGAGCAGTATTAACGCCGAAACTTCAGCTAACAAAGAAATCAGGATGTGTAACACTAATAATGTTAACTTCATCTAACAAAGAAATCAGTCATGTGGGTTAGTTCATCTAACAAAGAAATCAGGGTGTGGAACAGTAATAATGTTAACTTCAGTTAATGAATAAATCAGGGTGTGTAACACTAATAATGTTAACTTCATCTAACAAAGAAATCAGGGTGTGGAACAATAATAATGTTAACTTCAGCTAATGAATAAATCAGGGTGTGTAACAATAATATTGTTAACTTCAGCTGACGAAGAAATCAGCGTGTGTAACAATGATAATGTTAAATATGTCTGAACTTTACAACTTCTCTGACATACTTAGTAAAGATATTTAAATTAAGATATTGTTTTACTTGTATTATTAAAATCTAAATGATATTAAAACACCTGCTTTGCTTCAAATTATTCTAGTTATCAAATTCGAGAACTCTTATGCTTGTTACAATATCAGTTTTGTATTTAGTGCAAAATATAACTGAACGAGGTCTATTGTTGTGTATTTCTAAAAATATATTGATGCTTTTAGTTTACCGTTGTTCGAGTAATTATTATTATTATTTTATTCTATACCAGCAAACAAAATTAGGTTAGTCTGGCAACAGTGAAAATCAGTGTTACAAGTTGCGTTACTAAGATGGAACAATCAAGAAGAAGAACTATAACGTACGAAAACGTGGGTTAGTATTTTGTTTAGTACCCCTTTGTCACGTGGGTTAGTATTCTGTTTGGTACCCCTTGTCACGTGGGTTAGTATTATGTTTAGTACCCCCTTGTCACGTGGGTTAATATTCTGTTTGTTACCCCCTTGTCACGTGGGTTAGTATTATGTTTAGTACTCTTTGTCATGTGGGTTAGTATTCTGGTAGTACCCCTTGTCATGTGGGTTAGTATTATGTTTGGTACCCCTTGTCACGTGGGTTAGTATTCTGTTAGTACCCCTTGTCATGCTGGTTAGTATTCTGTTTGATACCCCTTGTCACGTGGGTTAGTATTCTGTTTAATACTCTTTGTCATGTGGGTTAGTATTCGGTTTAGTACCCTTTGTCATGTGGGTTAGTATTCTGTTAGTATCCCTTGTCATATGGGTTAGTATTCTGTTTAGTAACCCTTGTCATGTGGGTTAGTATTCTGTTTAATACCTCTTGTCACGAAGGTTAGTATTCTGTTAGTACCCCTTGTCATGTGGGTTAGTATTCTGTTTAGTACCTCTTGTCACGAAGGTTAGTATTCTGTTAGTACCCCTTGTCATGTGGGTTAGTATTCTGTTTAGTACCCCTTGTCACGAAGGTTAGTATTCTGTTTAGTACCCATTGTCATGTGGGTTAGTATTCTGTTTAGTACCTCTTGTCACGAAGGTTAGTATTCTGTTAGTACCCCTTGTCATGTGGGTTAGTATTCTGTTTAGTACCCCTTGTCATATGGGTTAGTATTCTGTTTAGTACCCCTTGTCATTTCTTCAGAAAATATTCTCCTCCAATGGCACTTGCACCTTAAAAACGAAATCTGAGTCAGTTTGTTGGAGGAGTTGTTGAGGTACGTTTACATAAATTATCATCTAAGTGTATATCGTGCTGTTACCCGCGTTGGGAAGTTGTAATTGAAACTGACAGTCGCCAGTTAAAAACAGATCACTCAGGAAGGCTTTTGTGTTTGTTGGTAAGGGCAAAGCTACACAATAGACTATCCCCGCTCTGCCCATCGCGGGTATCGAAACCCGAAGTTTAACATTATAAGCCGTCAGACCTGTCGCTGAGGCATCTAAGAGGCATAAACATGGTCATTGGGATAAGGGAAATTTTCTGTTTTGTTTTGGCCTATTTTGTAGCTTTTATTTTTTTTACAAGAAACAACTGATCTTGACATAAGTGTCAGAAATTATATTGCGTAATCTAATAACCGCTTAGCACAGATTAAGAGTTATGTTAATTGTCAAATTGACCAAAGTAATTATATGAGGACAGAGTAAACCTCATCCATTGAAATCCAGTTGCATAATTCTTAAAAGAGTAGATGTAAGCCCATATTCTGGTTAATCGGAGTTTTCGTTTCTATGAAAAAAAAACAACAAAAAAACCCACGAATTTCTTAAGCTATCTTATTAACATCTGACATTTAAAAGATTTTTTTATTAATATTGTATTATTCAAAATCGCTTATAGAATCGAGTTCTACCTCAAATTGTACAACTCATAGCCTAGAATAGTTATAACTGTGGCTAAGCGACTGTGGTCTTCCAAAGAGTCTGGTTATGGATGTGTTTCCAGCTTAATGCTTCCATTAACTGTAATATATTCAGTCTGAGAAGATAATAAAATATATATACCATTATAAAAATGTGTTTATTTATTTTTACTTTCGAATTATATATACAATCGGCAATAAATGACATCATAGTAACGAGTATTCATATTAAGTTGATAACAACCGATCGCACAGAAACTAGGGGTACGAGGGGCAACATAACCCTTGGTTTTAAGTATGGTATCAGCTGGTGTTGTTTGAAGAAAATAAAATTTAAACTATTTACGTCTTACTTTGCATGTTTGTCTATAATTCACGCAAAGACATTTGAATGCGAATTGATTTTTTGTTTCGTTTTGAAAATATATATTCTGCACTTTCTGTTAATCTTGCATGCAGTGCTGTAGTTTACTGTAAGAAAACATTTTTTCTAATACTGAAGTTAAAAAAAGCCTCTAGTTATCGGGTAGCCTGATTTACTTTGAATGGATAAACAAATGTTGATGTTCGTTTCGTTTCATTGACGTTTTAAAATAACAGGAGCCAAATGCGTGATTTCCACCATACACAAGAGTTATACTTTTGTTCAATGGTTTTCTGCGCCTTTATATAATAATTGTTCCAGCATTAAGGGCAACAATATACACCTCAGGAATAAGTACAAAAATAAGGAAAATGTATGACTATTATAGGCTCACAAAACCATGTTTAAAAATAATAATTACAAAAGGTTATGTTAAATTATCTTTTGCTTGTTTATTTAGAATTTTCGCCAAAGTTACACAAGCGTTATCTGCGTAGCCGTCTCTGATTTTGAAGAGATAGGGAAGGGTTGCTAGTTAACAACGTCCCCCGCCAAATTTGGTCTACTCTCGTCTGAGCGAATAGTGGAATTTAACTATCACTTGGCCCGGCATGGCCAGGTGGTTAGGGCGCTCAACTCGCAATCTGTGAGTCGCGAGTTCGAATCCCCGTCACACCAAACATGCTCGCCCTTTCAGCCGTGGGGGCGTTAT